ATCCTCTGTCCAACGGGATCCTACCAAAGCTTAAAATATTTCGAAGAAAAGGGATATTACGATCTTTATTTTGTCTACTTCCCTATCTGGACAAACGGTTTCTTCGTCTTCTACGTGTGAACCGATCTTTGGCGAGACGTATAATCGTTGCGATGTCATCTACTAGTCCGCCCGCGGATCAAGCAAAATTCTCAAACATTAATGATGATAACAATAATGACAATCTGTCGGCCTCCGCGCACGGCAATGTTACTTCCGATAACGACGAACAGTTATCTTCACGTGACAAACAATTTTTAACAAACAAACAACATTTCACCAATAAGGAACATTACGATTATTTCAATAAAACGTTTATAAACTTGTTGATGCAGCAAAAAGCGATATCGGACTCAAATGTCGTTCTGCGCAAACTGTTGGATGAAGAATCGGAGACACACCGAGTACATTTGCAAAATATTATCGAGCAAATGAAGAAAAAACTGCAATGTCGAGTGATTGAGAGCGCAAAATTGACTCGTAAAATACAGGAAGAACGACTACGAACGGATGAATTAATTAAAAAAAAGTGTAATGAAATGTTTTTGTTACAAATGGAAAGAATAAAGAACGAAATGACAAATTCTTCCTACAAAAGATTTCTCGACGGTAATGCATTTGACAAACAGGACGATGCAAATGAGAATGTTGCGTCTCATCTTTTGATATCACATCACACAATAATCACAATAATAATGGTGATATCAATAACAACGATGTATATGCTGTTATTTTAAATGATTTAATTTTAAACAACCAACAAATTTTTGCAGTATGTCAAATGTCTACGCATGGTAATGTTCGCGTTAAATTAAATAAATGTTTCTCTAAGTAAAAGATGCAAAGGACTCTACTCATTTTGATTCACCAATTCCCAAATATAATTTTGATTTGTAAAAAGCAATTAAATTTTCCTGTTCCTCTATCTCCAGTAATTTCTTTAATTTAAATTCTATAATTTAAAATAGAAATGATACACAAGCTTTTTGCTCGAAAAATCCCAAGAGAAAACAATTTATCAAGAATTTACCAAGAATATCGAGTTCTCCAAACAAAGGTATAAATAAGTCTTACGTATGTTCTGAAACTATTGCGCGAATTTAATTAGTGCGATATATTTGATACAATTTTATTTGAGAATTCACGCGTAGGTATTACGTTTAGATTATTTGAAATCATTTTGATTTATACGTAGCAAAATCATATTTCTATATATCTCATTTTGAATAACAACGAATAATAAAAGTAAAAAGAAGAGAGAAGCAATGAAGGGAGTGTTACGTCCGGACCCCAGGATATTTAATTCGGTCGTTTGCGTGCGAGAGTAAATCCCGTGTGCGAACGAGATGGGACTGGAAGTGGAGGGGGTAAAGAATGACGCAACTAGACGAGCTGTCTCGCAGGTACGCGCCGAGGCGGACGATGCGAGTCGATGGCGCTTTTGCAAGGGTTCGAAAACGAGTCAATGTCCTTAGGAGGACACTATTACTTCGTTTTATTGAACCAGCGCGATCGTCGGTCCTATTTTAGTCAGGGAACTTAATCCCTATGACT